TATTGCTTAATGCATTTACTAAAATTAAGTAATTATGAAGGATACTTGTGCAGCATTTATTAATCATAGTTCAACATTTACTAATGTATTATTAAAATACAAATTCATTAGTTAATGCACTGTGAGTTTACATGAACTAACAATGAACGACTTTATTTTCATTAACTAACGTGAGCAGATACTGTAATAAATGTGTTGTTCATTTTTTGTTTGTTAGTAAATGTATTCACTTACACAATCTTATTGTGAAGTCTTACAACGTCTTTTGCTACATAAAATGGTCATGTAACACTCAGAACATCCTGACATCATGCTGCATACAACAATACTTAGTGTATTCCAATTTTGATATACACTTACTGGCCACTTTATTAGGTACTGGAAAGATACTGGAAATATTCCTCTGAGAATTTGCTCCATATTTTTATGACAGCATCACACAGTTGCTGCAGATTTGTCGGCTGCACATTCATGATGCCAATCTCCCATTCCACCACATCCCAAAGGAGCTCTATTGGATTACGATCTGGTGACTGTGGAGGCCATTTGACTACAGTGAACTCATTGTCGTGTTCAAGAAACCAGTCTGAGATGATTCACGCTTTATGACATGGCGTACAAGTTGGGTACAATGTGCTCATAAAGGGATGGACATGGTCAGCAGCAATACTCATGTAGGCTGTGTCGTTGACACAATGCTTGATTGGTTCTAATGGGCCCAAAGTGTGCCAAGAAAATCTCCCCCACACCATTACACCACCACCAGCCTGAACCGCTTATAAAGGAACGATGGATCCATGCTTTCATGTTGTTGAGGCCAAATTCTGACCTGACCATCTGAATGTGGCAGCAGAAATGGAGACTCATCAGAGCAGGCAGCGTTTCTCCAATCTTCTATTGTCCAGTTTTGGTGAGGCTGTGTGAATTGCAGCCTCAGTTTCCTGTTCTTAGCTGAAAGGAGCGGCACACGGTGTGGTCTTCTGCTGCTGTAGCCCATCTGCCTCAAGGTTGGACGTGTTGTGTGTTCAGAGATGCTCTTCTGCAGACCTCGGTTGTATCGAGTGCTTATTTGAGTTACGAGTGCTTTTCTATCAGCTGGAACCAGTCTGGCCATTCTCCTCTGACCTCAGGCATCATCAAGGCATTTGCACCCACAGAACTGCGCTCACTGGATATTTCCTTTTTTTATGATCATTCTCTGTAAACCCTAGAGATGGTTGTGTGTGAAAATCGCAAGAGATAAGCAGTTTCTGAAATGCTCAGACCAGCCTGTCTGGCACCAACAACCATGCCACATTCAAAGTGACTTGAATGCTCTGTCCCGGAATGAAAAAGTTTGGGAACCCCTGCTCTACAGAACAAACCATCGTTATACAACTTGCCTTATTACTCTTTCCTGCCTAGTTAACCTAATCAACCTAGTTAAGCCTTTAAATGTCACTTTAAGCTGTATAGAAGTGTCTTGAAAAATATCCAGTCAAATATTATTTACTGTCATCATGGCAAAGATAAATCAGTTATTAGAGATGAGTTATTAAAACTATTATGTTTAGAAATGTATTGAAGAAAATCTTCTCTCAATTAAACAGAAATTGGGGAAAAAATAAACAGCGGGGCTAATAATTCTGGCTGTATATCGAGTTAAACGTGTCCACATTCTAATCTGCACAAAAGGAGTTGTGAGACCCCAGTGTGGCGGGCCAGAAATGTGTTTTTGGGTGTAGTTCTGTGCATACCTGTAGCATGCGCTCCATCAAACTAGCGGTCCTGTTCTACATAAATGAATTTGGAGCTCTGGGTTTGCTCTAACCTCAGGTTAATAGGTTTGAGTGCTTTCAGCTGTGTTTGGAAAGCTCTTGTAATAGAGGAAGGGTGCCATTGAGAAAGACCCTTGGAACAACTTTAGATTAAGTACCGCGCTCAAGGCACAAACGCGGCGCTCAGAGATATCAGAAAAAGCTGCGCTCGCTTCCAGATCAGACCCCCATCTGGAGACGCCCTCAAAGTGCTCGCACTCAGACTGCGTGCTTTCATAATTCGCTCGCTTTTTGAGTGTGTGTGTGTGTGTGTGTGTGTGTGGCTTTTTATTTGGGTGTGAATCTGTGTTCTTTCTGTCACATGTTTGGAATTTCATTTGGAGAAATGCACACACCCTTACAGCGCTCACACACACATATGCAAGCTCACACACTCTTACACACATGCTCTCACATGCAAGCTCACACACACAAACACATGCAGTACATATACACACACGCAAATATACACATGCACACACACACTCATACTCTTTCTCTCACAGACACACACACACACACACACACACACACACACATCGCCTGCAGACGTTTACCGAGCTGAATTCGCTGTAATCTCACCCTGTTGACTTTAGCCCAGAATCCGCCCGAAATTACACCCCCTCTTCATGAGCCCCAACACACACTCTCACACACACAGAGCGGCAGATGGTGTGTGTGAGGGAATGGCCCGAGCAGGTTTCATTAACCACAGAATTCCATACAAATTGGCCCTGTAATAACACACACACACACACACACACACACACACACACACACACACACACACACACACACACACACACACACACACACACACACACACACACTTAAATATGAAAGAACAGACAGGCATGTTAAATCTTAAAAATATTCATAAGAAATGTGGATGGAAAGCAGATATATGTAGACATAGATATAGAGAAAGATAAAAACAAAAGTGTGTATGAAAACACACTAGTGTTGTAGAAAGATTGATTGTGATTAATCGAATTTAAAATAGTTGTATTTACATAATAAATAAATATAATAAATCACATGAATACACACATACAGAACATTATATATTTTAGAAATGCATATTTATATTTACAAATTAAATATTACATCTGATGCAAACTATATATAAATACTTGTGTAAATATTTTGGTTTTGTATTTGTGTTGTATTTTATGTGTGTATCATTTATATACATACATAATACATGAAAACATTTATTTCGGTATTTAAGTGGTGATGATGATAATAATAATAATAATAATAATAATAATAATAATAATGATAATAATAATAATAATAGAAATGATAATAATAATAATAATGATAATAATAATAATAATAATAATAATGATAATA